AAAAAAACTAATTTTTTTTTTTTTTTACTTCGTAAATTTACGAATAAATTTTTATTCCACCAAATTTTCCAACTTCAATTAAATGTATCTTGAATTTTTAACACATTGACAAGTACATAATTCTTTCTTTTTTCTAAAATAATTTTTTCGATCATTTTCATCTCCACGAAATTCGAATCGAAAGAAAAGAGAAGGAATGAAATTTTTTTTTCATAAACTTAACATTCAATTCCAATTAATTTCATGACGAAATGAAATCCGAAAATCATTCGAGGCCAACCTCCTTGGAGGTCACGATCTTCGAGTTCTCAATCCAGTTGGTTGAGAAAATCGATATATGTGACAACAAAATTAGAACGTTGTTCAACGTTGAAACAATTTGAACGATCCAACGTGTTTCTCGTATCGTTCAACGAACCCATTTTTGCGGTTAATAAATTTATCTCGTTTCGAACACGCGAGAGGTCGGCTACGAAATATGGTAAATCGTAATCTTTAACGTGATAACGAATTACTGTTTTAATTTAAATTAATTATTGCCAAATACGGTTGGAAGACGAAAAATAATGATCGTTTTGTCTTACGACGACAGTATTTAATCTTGGCTTAGAAATTTAAAAAATTTTTTTGAAATGAGAAATTAATAAAAAATATTGGATCGATTATCATTGTATTTTATATATATTTTTCGATATTATATACTTTTATTAAAATTAAAAAATAATTATTCCAAAAAGTATTTATTTTGATCCGCAGTTTATTAACAATAATTAATATTGATAAATATATTGTAAAAAAAAAAACAACTTAGTTTCTCTTACGTAATTGAATTTCTCAATTCAAGACAAAAAATTTTTTACAATATTTTTTTCTCGAAATGGGTCATCAGCGCGTCAAAAAATATGAATAATTTTTCTTTTTAAACAACTATTTCTCTCGTAGCTCGAAAATGTTTAGCCACACGATCCATGGAATCTCGTGGATGGCGGTATAAATATCGAGAAATACTTTATTGTATAAATTTATGCACTGGTATAAATAATCAATTATAAGAAAAATTGAATCTATGATTTATGATAATCAACAATAAATATCGAAGGGAAATAATTTTGAAACGATATATTCTTCGATCGATGATATAACTTTTAACAATGAACAATGATTATTCGTAATAATCGTAAATTCGATCCGCGATATAATACGAATTTTTACGGGAATAAAAGCGACGAGAAAAAAAAAAAAAAAAAAAAAAAATAATAATAATAATAA